ATCTTATGGTCTTATATGAAGGGAATACTATATTGTTAGGGATACTGACTTTGTGAGATGAGATATTAAATAAGGTCCTGTCTGCCCCTCCCAAGTAAATGATAAAGATCCTTTATCCTTTTTGATGAGGAGTTCCCCGTGGCATCCTGGGAAGCAATTTTACCTCGAATTATATCTCAAACAGGTCATCTGTGCATTAATTTTGTTGTTGTTTGTGGAATCATGCTTTCTGCAAATCGGCTGCCACATTTCCCATGTTACATGGTGACTACACTATTGGCTGTAAAATGGTTAGGGGTGTTCTGACGTCGTGGAAGACTCATTATGAACACGAGTCTCTCTTTAAGTGAGTCTTTGTGTTGCTACTGTGTGAAGTTTATGTTCGAGTGGGTGTGAGCTCTCTTCATTGGCCATGTCTGCAAATTTATAGTACTTTTATTTTTATCCTGACCAATGTTCCTTCCTCAGCCATACCACCAAAAACACATTAGCTGATCATACATTCTATTACGATCATACATTCTATTACTGTTTACAGGACATTGTTGGCGCAGATTCACTGCCGTGTTTATTTCACAGCAGCTTCTTTACTTCAAAATAATTGTTTATGAAGTCCTCAAATGTTTCTGAGAGACATAATAAGGTTCTACACTAATACAAAGATCCATTGTTTTATTTCAGAAAAAAACTTCAGACAAAGGAGGTAGGGATAGGAATAAGCATATTTTGAGATCCCACCAGTGCAATACAGAGTCAGTCACAAGATAGTTCAGGAGCTCTTTGTCAACCATAGTTCATTGATAGTACCTCTTCAGTTCGAAAGTTGTGAGTTTAAGTTCTATCCTGGAGGCTTGAACACAAATGTCTAGAATTACACTGCTGCAGTACTGCATTGGATTGTTGCACTATTAAAGGTACTGCCTTTCAGATGGGATACTAATTTAAAGCCTGTCTATTCTTAGATTTTCCCTGGCTGCTTGAATGTAATTCTGGTTTTGTAGTTTCATCAGTCTCCAATAAAATGTTCAGTGAGAATTGAGTGCATTAAAGTCATAAAGAAGCGGAGATCTGATTCTTTCTGTGTAATGCTAAGGGCACCAGGGAGGATTTCCATGAATTCTCATGCTTTAATACTAAATGGGAATCTAGAGGTTAAAAGTTTGAAATCCCTTTTTGCTATAGTAATAATATAATTCAATAAATTTGATAACTTGTGGTGTATAACGGGTTAAATGAACATCATTCATGGAAGGGAAGCTCCTGGCCATGCCCTGCTAGGCTTGAGGGCGGCTTTGGTCTTTGCCTTTATGATTGACTTATAATGGCTTCCGTGCATTTATTGGTGGGCAATAAACGATAACTGTGGCAGTGATACCAATACTTCAAGAGCAAATTAAAGAAAAGCTGTCTAACTTTTAAGATTCAGAAACTGAGGGGAAACAGTGTTGGCCTGAATGACAATATTCAAGCAATTTAAAACAACAGAAGAAAATAATTTCCATTTCAACAGCATCTAACAACCTCAGGATTCCCCAAATGCTTCACAGTCACGTGAATCTTCTTTCTCCCCACAAAACGTTATAAATATAGAAAATATGACAATCAATTTACGCATGGTGACCTCCCACAAACAGACCAGAGAGCCTGCATTTGTAATGTTTGTGATGGTTAATTACTAGCTGGGAATGAGGTGAACTCTTGCTAAACTTTCAAATCGTGTGGTAGGATCCTTTACATCCACCACAGAGGTCAGATGAGGCCTGAGTTTAATGTCTTAGTTGAAAGATGGCCGCTCCCTCAATATTGCACACCGATTGTCAGCCTTGATTACAAAGTAAAAGGCTGAGGAATGAAATAGGAGAAGTCTTTAAACTTAGAAAAGGTTTTGGTACAGAGAGAATGGTTCTTGTAATGGAGAGGAGAATAACTCAAAGTTATTAATGTAAGCTAAGAAATCCAGTAGGGAAGTCAGAAGTAACTTCTTCACCCAAGAGTGGCATGAGCTTTGAACTTGCTAATACTAGGAGTGATTGAAGCAAATAGTACAGATTTATTTAAAGCCTGTTTCTTTGTGGGGTACATGGAACATTCCTTGTTCCAATCCTACTTGAGCCCACACCCACAACACTTTCTCCAGTATATCAATGACATTATCAGTGCTGCTTCCCTCTCTCACCCGGAATGGGATTAGTTTATCTATTTTGCTTCCAGTTTCCACCTCGCTCTCACCTTCACCTGGTCCATTCTCCTTTCCCTTCCATGACATCTGTGTTTCCATTCCTGGGGATCGACTGACCTCCAATATCCACTTCAAACCAACCAACTCCCACAGGTACCTCAACTATACAACCTTACATCCTGCTTCTTGTAAAGACTCTGTTCCATTCTCCCAGTTCCTCCATCTCATCTGTTCTGGTGATGCCAGTTTCGACAAGGGAGCCTCCGAAATGCACCCTTCCTCAACCGAGGACTGTAGTTGACAGGGCCATTAGCCGGGTCTGACCCATCTCCTGCATTTCAGCCCTCACCCTCTCCCTCTTCTCCCTTCCCACAACAGCGATAGGGTCCCCCTTGTCCTTACCTACCATTCCACCAGCATCCACATCCATAGGATCATTAGCTGCAATTTCTGCCACCACCAGACATATTTACCTTCCCTCCCTTGTCAACCTTCCGCAGGAATCATTCTGTCTATGAGCCCTGGTCCACTTGTCCTTCACTCCCAACATGTTCCCACAGCCCCATGGCACCTTTCCCTGGAATCGCAGAAGGTGTAACACTTGCCTGCTTACTTCCTCCTTCCTCAGTATTCAAGGGCGCAACCACACCTTCTAAAGTGCTTTACCTGCACTTCACTCAGTCTAGTTGACTGCATTCGCTGCTCACAATGTGGTCTCCTCTACACTGGGGAAATAAAGCGTAGACTGGGTGATTGATTTGTGGACCCACCTACGCTCTGTCCTCAAAAAAGACCCAAAGCTTTCAGTTGCGTCAGCGCAAGCTGGAAGAACAGCCCCTCATTTTCTCCTTGGGAACTCTGCAGCCTTCTGGACTTAATATTATGATCAACAATTTTAGGGCTTGAAGCACCTTCGCCCATGTCCTTACCCCACCCCCACACATCAGACCATGTCATCACATGAGTTGCTACCACACACAATCCATTGTCAGCTACTATGGTCCCCATCAGTAGCTATTCATTCCCCCAGACTGACCTTCATCCACTCCTTTGTATGTCCAATTGTTTTTCTGTTTCGTTGGGCTCTATCTCCACCTATTGTTTACTCTCCCATCTCTCCTCACCCCTCCTCTGCATAAAAACCAACTTATTCCTAGATACTATCAGTTCTAAAGAAGGGTCACTGGACCTGAAACGTTAACTCTGATTCTCCTCCACAGATGCTGCCAGACCTGCTGAATTTTTCCAGCAATTTCTGTTTTTGTTTCTGATTTCCAGCATCTGCAGTTCATTCGGTTTTTAGTATAGATTTATTTATAGAGAAATTAGACAAGCAGATAAGGGAGAAAGAAATAAATTATTGTGGCTGTACAGGACATTGGTTAGGCCACTTCTGTAATACTGCGTTCAACTCTGGTCTCTCTGCTATAGGAAAGATGTTGTGAAACTTGAAACGGTTCAGAAAAGATTTACGAGGTTGTTGCCAGGGTTGAAGGGTTTGAGCTCTTGGGAGAAGTTGAATAGGCTGGGCCTATTTTCCTTGGAGCAGCGGAGGCTGAGGGATGACCTTATAGAGGTTTGTAAAATCATGAGGGGCATGGGTAGGGTAATAGCCAAGGTCTTTTCCCCAGGGTATGGGAGTTTAAAACTAGAGAGCATAGGTTTAAGGTGAGAGATGAAAGATTTAGAAGGGACCCAAGGGGCAACTTTTTCATGCAGAGGGTGGTGCTTGTATGGAATGAGCTGCCAGAGGAAGTGATGGAGGCTGGTACAATTACAACATTTAAAAGGTGTCAGGATGGGTACATGAATAGGAAGGGTTTAGAGGGATATGGGCCAAATGCTGGCAATTTGGACTAGATCTGTTTAGCACATCTGGTTGGCATGGACAAGTTGGACCGAAGGGTCTGTTTCCGTGCTGCAGATCTCTATGACTCCCTGACTATTAGAATGGGAAAATGCCCCAGTGCCACATAAACACTGACATGTAGTAAGGAGTTGAATGTTTCCATTACAGATATCCCAAGTAAATCTTATAGAAGCCTCTAGAATGGAAGTTGAACCATAATCATTTGTTGTAGAGATGGGAGCCACAACTTAGACCTGTGAGAAAGATTGTGGGAAAGAAGATGTGCAAAATTTAATCGAAAGGATTGACAAATTAATTTAATAAGCTTGTACAGTAAGTTAAAGTTTCAAGGAGGGAAAGGCTTTGATGTCCTGAAAAAAATTAGAGAGGGCGTTGATTTTAGCACAGTAAGGGTGCAAATCTATCAGATCTGTAATCTCTGAGCGTTAGAATTCTCAACGGGTCCTTTAATAGGAGAGTGTTCAGATGGTAGCCAGCTTCGTTGGTGTTCTGAGCACTTTTCCCCCAGTATAGTAGGTCATGAGTTAAAAACTCTTTCCAGGAGAATAGAACCTAGACTGATGCTTTTATGGGCAAAGTTGCCATGTTTTGGTTGAGACAATAAACAAGAGGCGATTTATTATTACTGAGCAAGACATAATTCCATGGTGCTTCCCAAATGAGAGCGCAAGATTTCTCCCATCGTCCTAACCAACATTATTACAGATCATTGAACCATGCAATGTACTGAGGTCTTTTTCTGTGGGACTGCAGTGACCGCAGTTCAAAATATAGTTTGATGATTGTGAAGCATTTTGGAAGATGGTAGGCTCATGAAATCTATACTTATTTTTGATGCATTCGTCACTCTGCTACATTTGCTGGTTGCTGGATTTACATCCAGTGCTTATCTGCCAGTGTATTCCGCAGTAATTTGTTCTGAAGGTGTTTTATTGCTGCTTTTCTTTTCAGGCCCATCAGCAGAGGAACCTGGATAACGTTGTCTCTCAGCAGCATAAGGTCGGAACTGGGAAGAAAGTGAAGAAAGATGGTGGAATTGGTTTTGATGCTGAGATGGAAAATACCAGCCCAATGTCTGAGCAGGATTCTGGAATCTTAGATGTTGAAGATGAGGAGGATGAAGAAGAGGTACTTGCTTATTTCTCTCTTTGTTTTGGAGGCAATAGTGTAATGGCAGAGTTAGATTAACAAATGTAGACTCAGATTTATGTGGAGCATAAATACACAAACATGACGAGAGGAGCCAAACTGGTCTGTTTCGAGGCTGTACATTCTAGCCATTACTCTGTGAAGCTGTTACATGTTTTAGTCCTTGTTGATTCAGTCACGGGACTGATCCAACATTGTGCCTGGTTGTACAAGTTAGGATATGTGTGCATTTATTTATGGGTTGTGGGTTGTTTTAATTGGCTGCTCCTGGTTTCTCTCTGAGAAATCAGTGGTGGGCCTCCTTCTAGAATCACAAAATGGCAACAATCTGCTTTAGATCAGCAATACCAGAGATCAGAAGAACTTAGTTTGCCTCTGGCATCGTTGACATCTGGAAGTAGCTCTCACAAAAAACACCTGAGCTGTGTTAAACTCTTTCAAGATGAGGACTAGGTAAATATCTGGTTTCAAAATGAGATTTAAGGTTATTGGGATCAATGTAGATAGAAATAACCGAAAGTTTCATTGAGCATGATGGCTCTTCTGGTGCATTGAGCAAGGAGCTGCCATCTGTGGACGACCAGGAGTGGAGATTTTTGAATAGGAATGTGTTCCAAAGCTTTTCTTAATTATGAGCAAAATCATTTGCTTTTATCTCAAGCCTATGGTGGATCTGAAGTCATCCCTTAACCTTGGTGTATCCCAAAGTATTCTCATAGCCTATGAATTAGTTTCTGATGTGTTTGTGCTTGTGTAAACAGAAACAGTAGCCAACTTGTGTGGATAAATAGCCACAAAAACAAAGTTGCTGGAAAAGCTCAGCAGGTCTGGCAGCATCTGCGAAGGAAAAATCAGAGTTAACGTTTCTGGACCGGTGACCCTTCCGCAGAACTCAGTTCTGAGGAAGGGCCACCAGACCCGAAACGTTAACTCTGTTTTTGCCTTCACAGATGCAGCCAGACCTTGTGAGTCTCTGTTATCTTGCACAGTGGACATAACTGAGCATTAACCATCTTAATGTGTAAAACTGGTCATATCTTATACTTGTGATGACTCGTGGAATCGTGGGGCTTGATTTCCAGCACACTATATGCACCAGGATCGTGATAAAAGTGACATCACATACCACAGTGTAGGCAGAGGTAGAACACATTAGATTAGATTAATTTAGATTCTATTAGTTTAGGCACTGCTACAATAAGTACCCTCTGGAATGAGAGACAATCTACAGAGCACATTGACATGAGACAACAAAGAAGACAGATTAGTCCTTATGTGATGGAATTATAAATCAGAGTCTGGTACATTCATGATTACCATATACAGCAGTATTTACTATTAATATACAATTCATAGTATTACCTTGAAGTCTGAACCTGAAGACAGTTCTTGATTTGACCTTCTCTTTGACCAGTCTGTAAAGAACTTCAAACTCGTTTCCAGCATCTGCGGTTCTTTAGGTTTTTTATCCTAAACTCATTTTGTGGCATCAAATTACACCAATGATCAAGAAGGATTTTCTTCATAATAAGCCACTTTATTGGCCCCAAAAGAAAACCCAACCAAAACATCTTGTTACCTCTCATCAACTTATGTAGTTAAACTCAACTAATCTCCAACATGACAAGAATGGTTTTGGAAACATTTCACATTGTCTGAAGTTGCTGGAGGGTTCTGTTGAGCATCATCATTCCATATTGCACAGCAACTCTTAAAAACAAACTCCCAGAGTTGAAACCGCATGAATTTAAGAATATGAGAAGGTAAGAAAATTTTGAATGGAAAGAGGCCACTCTTCCATCTCAAACAATACATCATACCTGCATCTAATTTCCCTTCTCTGTGTCCATATTATTCATTTTAACTAATTTCTGTTCCTTTTCATTTAAATTTTGAAGTTATGGAGATGTTAATAATTATGGAAATCAGGAACCTAGGCAAAGGCTAATTTGTACCGCCTCCAATCACTTAACCGGGTTTTCCTCCAGTTCCTTACATTCCAGGTATTTTTGGTGAAATAAACAGATTTCTCAGGATGAATTTAAGTGAAAGAGAGTAACAAAGTTTTGTATTAGTAGGGAAATGATGTTAGGAAAATTGTTGGAATTGAAGACTGATAAATCCCCAGTGCCTGATAATCTTCATTCCAGAGTACTTAAGGAAGTGGCCCTAGAAGTAGTGGATGCATTGGTGGACATCTTTCAAGACTCTTCAGACTCTGGAACAGTTCCTACAGATTGTAAGGTAGATAATGTAATCCCGCTATTTAAAAAAGAAGGCAGTGAGGAATTATTGACCAGTCAGCCTAATGTTGGTAGTGGGAAAAGTACCAGAGTCCATCATTAAATTTAATAGCTGAGCAGTTGGGAAACATTGGCTAGATTAGACAGAGTCAGCATGGATTTGCAAAGGGTAAATATGCTTGACACATCTACTGGAAACCTTTGAGGATGTAACAGGTAGAGTTGATGAGGGAGAGCCAGTGAATGTGGCTTATTTGGACTTCCAGAAGGTTTTTGACAAATTCCCGCATAAGAGATTAGTGTATAAAATTGAAGTGCATTGGGTTGGGGTAGAGTATTGAAATGGGTAGTAAACTGGTTGGCAGATAGGAAACAAAGAGTAGGAATAAATGAGTCTTTTTCTGAGTGGTAGGCAGCGAGTAGTGGTGGATCAGTGCATGGATCCCAGCTATGCATAATATATATTACTGATTTCAATGAGGGAACTACATGTAATATCTCCAAATTTGCAAAGATGCCACAAAGCTGGGTGGGAGGTTGAGCTGTACGGATGATGTAGAGATGCCTCTACATCTGAGTGAGTGGGCAAATACATGGATATGTGCACAAAAGGTTATCCACTTTGGTAGCAAAAGCAGGGAGGTGGATTATTATCTGAATAGCTGTAAATTGACAGAGGGGAATATGCAAAGAGTGGATGTTCTAATTCACCAGTCACTGAAGGTAACCATGCAGGTTCAGCAGGTCGTCAAGAAGGCAAATGTTGGCCTTCAGAGGATCTGAGTTGGCGAGAGGATCTGAATACAGGAGCAGGGATATCTTTCAGCAATTTATCCAGCCTCCTTTAATGGCATTTCCAAACTCATATCGTCCACTTCCTAGAAGGCCAGTGGCAGCAGATGAATTCAAGATACCACTACCTGTAAGTATCTTTCTAAGTGTTCCAGAAGGCGCTCACCCCAACATCCTGAATAGAGTCATACAGCGTAGAAAAGGCCCTTCGGCACATGAAATGGGAATTTAACGATGCTTTCTTACAATCGCTCACATTTCTCTTAGGCTTGCTGTTTTTCTCTTCCTGTCTGGACCTGTAATCCAGAGTCCCAGGCTAATACTTTGGAGACATGCGTTCAAAATCCTCTCTGACAGTTGATGGAATTTAAAACTCAACAGCAAAATGTCTCCATGGCTATTTTACTTCATTTGTGCAGGTTACTGGTGAAGCCCCATCTGGAGCACTGTGCAAATATTGGTCACCTTTAAAGGAGGATGTAAAGGTATTGAATGCAGTTCCAAGAAGGTTTTCTAGACTAATAACTGGAAAGGATGGGCTGTTTTGTGAGGGAAGGTTGGACAGGTTAGGTTCGCGTCCACTGGAGTTTAGAAAAGTAAGAGACAACTTTATTGAAACATATAAGACTCCAGGGGTCCTGTTGTGGGAGACTCCAGAACCATGGGGTTGTTATTTAAAAATAAAGGGTCACTCATTTAATAAGATAAGGCAATTTTTTTTCTCTGAGAGTTGGAGTTTTTGGAACTCTTCCTGAAAATGTAGCGGAAGCAGAGTCCTCGAATATTTTTAAGGCAGAGATAGACAGATTTTTTTATTCACTCATGGGATATGGGTGTCATTGGCTAGCCAGCATTTAATTGCTTGTCTCTAGGTACCCTAAAAGGTGGTGGTGAGCTGCCTTCTTAATCTGCTGCAGCCCACGTGCTGTAGGCACACCCACAATGCCCATGGGGAGGGAATTCCAAGATTTTGACTCAATGACAGTGCAGGGCTGGCGATATATTTCCAAATCAGAATGATGAGTGGCTCGAAGGGGAACTTGCAGGTAGTGGAGCTCCCATGTATCTCCACCTTTGTCCTTCTGGATGGAAGTGGTCATGAGTTTGGAAGGTGCTATCTAAAGATCTTTGGTGAATTTCTGCAGTGCATCTTGTAGGTAGTACACACTGCTATTACTGAGCATCGGTGGTATGCTTATGGATGTGGTACTAATCAAGAGGACTGCTTTGTCCTAAATGGTGCAAAGCTTCTCAAGTGCTGTTGGAGTACCACTCATCCAGGTAAGTGGTGAGTATTCCATCACACTCCTGATTTGTGTCCTTGTAGATAATGGACAGGCTGTAGGGAGTCAGGAGATGCATTCCTTGCCGCAGTATTCCTAGCCTTTGACCTGGAATTTATTTGGTGAGTCCAGTTGAATTTCTGGTCAATGGTAACCCCCAGGATGGTGATAATGGGGAATTCAGTGATGGTAACAGCATTGAATTTCAAGGGGCGGTGGTTAGATTGCCTGTTATTGAAGATGATCATTGCCTGGCATTTCTGTGGTACAACCATTACTTGCCACTTGTCAGCCCAACCCTGGATATTGTCCAGATCTTGTTAAATATGAACATGGACTGCATCGATACATAAGAAGTCATAAATTGTAAATTGCTGAACGTTGTGCAATTTTTGATGAACATCTCCACTTCTGATAGAGGGAAGGTTATTGATGTAGCAGCTGAAGATGGTTGGGCCAAGGACATTACCCTGAGGAACTCCTGCAGAGATGTCCTGGAGCTGAGATGACTGACCTCCAACAACCGCAACCATTTTCCTATGTGTCAGGTATGACTCCAGCCATCAGAGAGTTTGCCCGCTGATACCCATTGATTCTAGTTTTGCTAGGGCTCCTTGCTGCCACACTCGGTCGAATCCGGCCGTGATGTCAAGGGATGTCACTCTCACCAGATTGTCTCCAGAATCTCTTGGGTGAATGGAATGGTTGTTGGGGGTGAGTGGAAAAATAGATTGTGATTACAATCAGATCCCCATTTCATTTTCTTCTGTTCTCTTGTAGGACAGGAACATGGCTGGATGGCCAGCATTTATTGCCTGTGCTCCCTGTCTCGTACTCCATGTCACATAGGCCCCCATCACTTATGCTTATTCTGTCTGTCTCTCTCTCTGTCTCACTGCCTTGGCCTTTATCACTTGCCTTTTCTCTCTCATTTGAGTTCTCTGCCACTCGCGCGCTATCTCTCCAGCACACACACTCACTTTCTTGTAGACAAGAACTCTTATCAATTTTTATGGATGCACTATAAAAAAAAAGTCCTATCTGGATGCATCACAGCATAGTTTGGCAACTCCTCTTCCCAAGACTGCAAGAAACTACAGAGAGTCGTGAACACAGCCCAGTCCATCACGCAAACCAGCCTTCCATCCATTGACTCCATCTATACTTCCTGCTGTTTCGGGAAAGCAGCCAACATAATCAAAGAGCCCTCCCACCCCGGTTATACTCTCTTCCACCCTCTCCCGTTGGGCAGAAGATATGGAAGTCTGAATACATGGACGAACAGATTCAATAACAGCTTCCTCCCCAAGGTTATCAGGCTTTTGAACAGACCTCTCAAATGTTAATTCTGATCTCTCTCTCTGCACCCTCTCTGTGGCTGTAACACTGTATTCTGCACTCCATTCTGCTACCCTGATGCACTTTGTATGGCATGATCTGCCTGTATTACAC